CCATTTTCCACGCCTTGGTGGCCCCGCGGGGGCCGTCGAAGGACTCACACTTCTGCTTCCACTGCTCCCTGGCGAGCCTCTTACCGTGTCGCTTGAAGAGTGCATCCTGGCGTCGGTAGCGGAGTGTGTCCTCGTGATGGCCCGTCCGCAGGGCCACCCTCTGTGCCTGGCGTCTTTGTGCTCGGAGTTGGAGCCAGCGAAAGTCAGGATTAGGACGCTCAACGGGGATACTCACTGACGTGGTGGCCTCTTTGAGTGCGGCGCCGATGGCCTGGCTGTCAAGGGGCCAGCCCATCGCCTCGTACTGGCGGAGGAAGGCACGATACCTGTCCCAGTGGACCACCTTGCACGTTCGATTGGGTGGCCGTGGGGCAGGTCCCGATGTTATGGGAACGTGGTCGCTCCCCCAGCTGTCTTGCTCGAGCACCGTGGTCAGTGGGAATCGCGCCGAGCAGAACGTTAAATCGAGTACGCTCCGCTCGACGCCTCGTCCGATGAATGTGGGCTGCCCTGTTCCGCTGTACTCCAAGTCGGTTTGGGCGAGGGCCTCCTGCAAACGCTTGCCGCGCGCGGTCGTTTTCCTGTCCCCCCACAGCTCGTTGTGCGAGTTAAAGTCTCCGCCGAGAATGATTATGCCCTGCTCTTGCGCGTGAATTTGTTTTACAACCTCTCCACCCCACGCCGCGTTGGGGTGAACGTAGCAAGAAAAGATAGAAAATGTCTGGTTATTTTTCTTTACCCGAATACCTACAAGTTCCGAAGTGTCCGAGCAGTAATCGGCGCTCTCGATCCGGCAGTGGGTCGCGTCTTTGTGGACGAGCACGGCCGCCCAGGGTTGTTTTTCCCGGCCGGGGCAGCAGTAGGTGGTGTAGCTGGGAATGGTTAGTTTGCTCACGTCCATTTTTGGCTCCTGCAGCAGCACCACCTCGTACGGCCTTGCCAAGAGTTCTGCCCTCAGGTGGGTGAGGCGGTTGCCGAGCCCGTTCGCGTTCCACTGGAGGATCGAGGGACAACCTTTCACAGCATTAGGCTTACTTGTTTTCTTAGGGCCTGTAGGCATTCTCAGTTCCTTGCCGCGAACGTTGCATCCCCGCGGTGATGCTGTGTAGTAAGGTCCCCTCCGGGATCATGGCTGTAGCCTGCCGATTCTTGAGGAAAAGCGGGATTAGTGTTTGGAGCAGATCCTCCAGGGTGTGGATCATGTCGCGCATTTCCTGCGCGGTGGGGGGCGTGTCCGTCTCGTCCCGCCGAGGGGAGTCCCCGGCGCTGTCTCCTGGGGAGGCTGCGGGGAAGGGGGGTGAGGGGGGCACCTGTTCTTGCTGGGGGAGAGGCCTTTCCCTCTCGCCACCGGGTCGGTCGTCCGCGCGGGGAGAGGAGGATCCTCGCAGGTGCCGTGCGTCAGCTGGGCGCCGGTCATTGACCCCTCGCTGCTGCTGTTGGCTGTCTGGACGGTAGGACCTGCGATAGACCTCCTTCCGCCGCTGCGGCTTACCGACTTCGGGGATTTTGGCGCTGGGTTCCGTGTTAGTGGAGGCCTCTCTTGTCTTGACTTGTGGGGGCTGTGGGGCGACTGGGGGGATTAGTTCGCGAGTCGCACTCACCGCGTTTGGCCGACTGCGCGCTTCCAGCGTTGGGAAAGTGTCTCCCCAGACTGAGCTCGCTGGGAGCACGCTGGTCTGCCACGCGGGAGTCTGGCTGGCTCCGCTGTGCATCCAGGGGGGCGGGGTGGCGGTCTGCTCCTGCGCGCGCTGCGTGCTGCGCTCTGCGCTCGCTTGCCTTTTTCTTGTGGAGTTCGGCGGCGACACGTTTGGCCTCCTTCCAGCTGCAGCCGGTGTCGCGGACTGCCTCGGCCTCGCGCTTGTGTTGTTGGTACACGCTGCATCCCTTGTCGAATGCAGCGTGTCTGCACTTGCAGTTGGGGCAAATGGGGGTGAGTTTTGTCGCGCACTTACCCCGAGGGTGCCTGCCCCTGCATGTTGGGCAGGCAGTGGGCAGCGTGCACGCGGACTGCACGTGGCCGAAGCGTCCGCATCCCCAGCACTGCGTTGGCCGGACGTGTCGTGCCTCCACGACAAACTCGATGTCGTAGATCAGGACCGTGGCTGGTAGGGGTCCGCCGAAGAAGAGCTCCGCGTACCGTCCTCCGCTGAACCGTCTGATGTGGTCCACGGGTACCTCGCTTTCGAGGCCTCGGGTCAGCTGTTCTGTTGCGTCATTGGGGCAAAGTCCGCGGAGTACGCCGATACTCACCGCTCTGGCCGGCGCGAGGGTGGCATGGAGAGGGAGGCTCGCCAGCTTGTCGGTGCCTAGGAGGCGGTGGGTCATTGCCGCGCTCGTTGTCTCGACCGCCATCACGTTTCGCCTGAGATTGAAACGTGTGGCGGCCGCCTTGCCGCCCGTGACTTGTCGAAGGCCCTGCGCCAAGGAGACTCTGTTCTCCAGGGTTAGCTTACCTGTTCCCGTTGGGCGGAGCAGGACTGTGGACCCCTTTGCGGGGAGTTCGTCTAAGGAGGGAATTGGTTGGTTAGCCTTGCCTGTGTTTGTCTTACGTGAGGCCCCGGATGTTGGGGGGCTTGTCACTGTGGGGGGGGTTGTCGCTCGGGGAGGGGTTGCTGCACCGTCCTTCCTTTTTTGGTGCAGTTCCTCGATGAGGGTGTTGCAGTCCTTGCTGCCTGCTTCCAGAAGTGCTGCAAATCGGTTGGAGGTGTTTACAGTCACCTGGAGTTGGTCGTCATCCTCCTCGGAGGTGTTGTCAGGTGTGGAGTCACTGGGGCTCGATGTTGTGTCCCCGCTTGCTTCGGAGGGGCTGTCGCTGTTCTCGCAGCCGTGGAACAGCTCCACGACTTCGTCCGGGAGCCGATCTGCATTTGGGTGTACTAAACCGGCACTTTTCAGTACACCTAGGATGGCGTCCGGTCGGGGCACGCCATCCTTCGGGGGCTCGTCGCTCTCCACGTGGGCGCCGTCCTCGTGGCTCTCGGGTGCCACGCGGAGGCTAGCCTCCGCGCGGGATCCGGTCCCCACGAGGTTTTCCGCGTTGTCCACGTGGCTCGCGCCGGCTGGCGGTAACGAATGGTTACCGTCTGTGTTTGGTTTGGGCTTCATGGCCCTGCTCCGCAGCAGGTACCCCGAGGGGTCCTCTGTCTCCTTTGAGTGGTCCGTGGTCAGTTGGTCCGGGGGCATGCCTGCGTCGGTGCCCTCCCGAGGGAGGGCGGGGGGGAAACTACAAACTGTTTAAATAAAGGTCCCTCCGCCTCTTTAAGGCAGAAGGATCTTTAACACTAACTACCTCTACTCTATCTTAATTCTTCTTCACATTACGAAGTTAGGGTTAAAGCTAAGACTAAATTCAAAATGGCGCTTAAATTGGAGCGAACAAATCACACGTCTACTTTATTTGCCAACTCTTCTAAACCTCACCTCCTGCCGCAGGTTCGTTTTCTTTGCTCTTTTTATAGGTTTTCACAGCATTCTGAAAAATGTGCTCCGATTGGCCAGCATTCTAGAGCGCGGGAAACAGTGCGCTGTGATTGGAGTACGCCCAAAATAAAGCTTCGCGATTGGTGTCTGCGCGAACCAATGAGCAAGCAGTTGAAACTACAATTTTTTGGGAGAGGGTTTTGGGAGAGGAGTGCTATGAAGCAGAGGCAGTGCAAGGCGAAAACGCGCTCTTGCAGCGCCCCCCAAGCGGAGAGGACTGGCACTTCCTTTGATTTTCTGCTTCTCGATGCGCTGACTCCCTCACTCACTCAGTGTTCGTTGGTTTGTTCGGTTGTCCACTTCTCACCTCCACCAAGATGTCTGGGCGCGGAAAAGGAGGCAAGGCAAAGGGCAAGAGCAAGACCCGTTCCAGCCGCGCGGGGCTCCAGTTTCCCGTGGGAAGGATCCACCGACTACTGCGAAAGGGCAACTACGCGGAGCGAGTAGGTGCCGGTGCCCCCGTCTACTTGGCGGCCGTACTCGAGTACCTGGCTGCCGAAGTGCTCGAGCTGGCAGGAAACGCGGCCAGGGACAACAAGAAAACTAGGATCATCCCTCGACACCTGCAGCTGGCCATTCGCAACGACGAAGAGCTCAACAAGCTGCTGTCCGGCGTTACCATCGCGCAAGGAGGTGTCCTGCCCAACATCCAGGCCGTCCTCCTTCCCAAGAAGACCGAGAAGAAGGCCTAAACCATCCCGCGGCATCCGCTACAGAAAAACGGTCCTTTTCAGGACCACTCATGACTTGAGTACAGGATACTCATTTCCGTGCGCTAGTCTTCCGTGTCTCTAAACGCTCGGGTATGTGCATTTCAATTTCCTTTTTGTGCAATGCCGACAGTGTTTCTCTTTCATCACCTACAGGCCTTGAATGCCACTCTTAGGCATTCTCCCATGCATAATATTTACGCTGCGTTTAATGCCAAATTCTTTCACGTGTGCGAATTGCCCGAACAAGACTTGCTGTCGGGTGCAAAGGCCAGCATTGCTTGTTATTTGAACTCGTAAAACCACCGCTGCACTGCCTCGCTTTGAGAGGATTTGAAGCTGTTTCTACGAGAGTCAACAATCGGAGCAGCATTTCCCCGAAACCGGCAGAGGGCAATAAATGTTGTGGACATCCCTCAAAAACAGATAATTACTCCACGGGTTTTTGTTGGTCGAATCTATAATCGTGATATTCGCTGATTGCTAGAAAATGAACCCTGTAATGTCTCGGGAAAGGTTTTTTTCTTCTTTATTTATTTCATTCAACAACACTTTAGAAAACAAGGAACACATGAAGGAATCGTTGGAAGCAACTGCGAACGGAGCACTTGGCACAATGCAAACTAGTTCAAAATGGGAGAATAAATAGAAAGTACTCACAGCTTTTGAACTCCTGCACTTGGAACAAGTCAGCATCGGAGATTGAGACACGGGAGGACGTCGCTTTACACATGTCCGAAAAGCATGTCTGATGTGGCCCTGAAGAGGGCCGTTTTTGTGGCGTTGCCTGCCGCTTCCAAAGAAGCGACATTAAGCGCGTTCACCGCGGATGCGACGAGCCAGCTGGATGTCCTTAGGCATGATGGTTACCCGCTTGGCGTGGATGGCACAGAGGTTGGTGTCTTCGAAGAGACCGACCAAGTAGGCCTCGCTGGCCTCCTGCAGGGCCATTACAGCCGAGCTCTGGAAGCGGAGGTCCGTCTTGAAATCTTGCGCGATCTCCCGCACTAGCCTCTGGAAGGGCAGCTTGCGGATGAGCAGCTCAGTCGACTTCTGGTAACGACGAATCTCACGCAGCGCGACCGTGCCCGGCCTGTAGCGATGCGGCTTCTTGACTCCACCGGTTGCAGGAGCACTCTTCCGGGCGGCCTTCGTAGCCAGCTGCTTGCGCGGTGCTTTTCCTCCCGTGCTCTTGCGGGCGGTCTGCTTCGTACGGGCCATTCCGAAACGTTGGGACAATAAAACGAGAGAGCTAGCAAACAGCAACACACCTCGACTCCTGACGACCAACTGCCTCAGCGCGAGTGGCGAAACTTCCTTCCCGACAAGGCCTCTCGGCCAATCAGAGAGCTTGTTCATTCTGGATGCTGTTTTGGGCAAGTTTCTTGCGAGGGACAGCGCACGTGGCTCGCTAGGACAATATTTCACGATTGAAGTGATCTAAACTTGTGGGGATAATGTGGAACCAACGTTAGAGCACAGAATCGAGCAAAAATTAGACTCCCAACCTTGTTATTTTAGAAACGGCACGGTTATAAACATTCGTTACCTTCTCCAGTGGGCCGCTCTCGCCTCTCGTCCAATCAGCGCGCTTGTTCATTCTTGGATGCTGTTTTGGGCGACTTTCTTGTGAGGGCCTATGCGCTTGGCTCCGTAAAATAATTTTTCTCGATCGAAGTAACTCAGACTTGTGAGGATAATGTGGAACCTATATTAGAGCACAGAATCGAGCAAAAATTAGACTCCAAACTTTGTTATTTTAGAAACGGCATGGTTACAAACATTCGTCACCTTCGAAGGGCTTCTCCCGGAGGTTCGCGCTCGCTTCTCTCGGCCAATGAGCGCTTGTTCTAGACGGTTTTTTTTCAGTCTCTCTCTGCTTACGATTAGAGTGGGTCATGTCCGAAGAAGTGTCCGCTCCTGCTGGGGTCGCGGCCCCCGCTGCCCTCAAGAGCCCCAAAAAGGCTTCCACGAAAGTGTCCAAGGGAAAGGCAAAGGCCGTGCCAACGCATCCCAAGGTGTCCGCAATGGTGACAGCATCCATCAGTGCGCTTAAGGAACGTGGTGGTTCATCTCTACAAGCCATCAAGAAATACATGTCTGCCAACTACAAGGTGGACGTCGAGAAGCTGTCTCCTTTCATCCGCAAGTATCTCAAGTCTGCCGTGGCTGCGGGAGCATTGGTGCAGACCAAGGGCAAGGGAGCTACCGGATCGTTCAAGCTGTCAGCCAAGTCCGACAAGCCCTCACCTGCTGCTAGGAAGCCCAAAAAGGAGGCCGGTGCTGCAAAGAAGCGCCCAGCCTCGGCAACTGCCGGTGCGGCCAGGAAGAAGAAGCCCGGGACTGCCAAGAAGTCGCCCGCAAAGAGGGCCAAGTCGGCCAAGCCCAAGTCGGCCAAGCCGAAAAAGCCAAAGGCAGAGAAGAAGGCTGCAGCACCCAAGAGCCCCAAGAAACCCAAGGCAGCAAAAAAGACCCCTGCCAAGAAGCCGGCTGCAAAGAAGGCTTCCTCCAAGAAATAGGTCTTCTCCTGGATATCCAGAGCGAAAAACAAAACGGCCCTCATCAGGGCCATAATTCGTTTGCATATCGGGGGATATGCACTTGCGTGGCATGCAGCTCCCGTGTCTCTCGCCACCTCTCTGTTCCAGCCTCGGTAAGCTGATTCCTGCTCTTTTTCAATGTGCACGAGGCATACTTGGTGTTATATTATTGTTTGTTCCCCTGTTAGCAGCATTTTATCTTTGAGTGTGGTACTCGTGAAGTCGTGGAGGCCCGCTTCACGCTCGAGCCGCGATTCGATCGCCTAAGATCAGGCGAAAATAAAAACAAAAAAAAAACTACTCGCTTTAGAACAGTCTTTTTTTCTGTCCTCTTAGCGCACACCTTTTTTTTCGCGGCACACGAAATTAAGAATCTGTATCTACGTTTATTACTACCTCTTTTAAACTTAAATCGACCAGCCGCCCTGACCGCTTGAAAACTAGTTTTGGCTTCCAAGTAAGAGGTTAGATCGAAATATGAAGTAAAATAACTCCGTTTAAATTCAAATAATTTTTACACCTATTAGAGAAGTTCATTAGCTTTCGGAAAATATATACTTCGCTATGCGTAACAATATTTTTCGTTGCGTTAGAGAGTGAAACAGGTCAAGCTGTAGAGTCCGGCGCGCGCTCGAGCCGCGATTCGATCGTCCAAGATCAGGCAAAAATTAAAGATAAAAAGAACTACTCGCTTCAGAAGAGTCTCTTTTTCTGTGCTCTTAGCGCACACGTTTTTTGAGCGGCACACAAAATTAAGAATCTGCATCTGCGTTTATTATTACCTTTTTAAACTCAAATCGACCATCCATCCAGAGCGCCCGAAAACTTGTTTTGCCTTCCAAGTAAGTGGTTAGATCAAAATATGAAGAATAACTCCGTTTAAATTCAAATAATTTTGGCACCTATTAGAGAAGTTCATTAGCTTTCGGAAAATATATACTTCGCTATGCGTAAAAATATTTTTCGTTGTGTTAGAGAGTGAAACAGGTCAAGCTGTAGAGTCCGGCGCGCGCTCGAGCCGCGATTCGATCGTCCAAGATCAGGAAAAAATTAAAGATAAAAAGAACTACTCGCTTCAGAAGAGTCTCTTTTTCTGTGCTCTTAGCGCACACGTTTTTTGAGCGGCACACAAAATTAAGAATCTGCATCTGCGTTTATTATTACCTTTTTAAACTCAAATCGACCATCCACCCAGAGCGCCCGAAAACTTGTTTTGCCTTCCAAGTAAGTGGTTAGATCAAAATATGAAGAAGAATAACTCCGTTTAAATTCAAATAATTTTGACACCTATTAGAGAAGTTCATTAGCTTTCGGAAAATATATACTTCGCTATGCGTAAAAATATTTTTCGTTGCGTTAGAGAGTGAAACAGGTCAAGCTGTAGAGTCCGGCGCGCGCTCGAGCCGCGATTCGATCGTCCAAGATCAGGCAAAAATTAAAGATAAAAAGAACTACTCGCTTCAGAAGAGTCTCTTTTTCTGTGCTCTTAGCGCACACGTTTTTTGAGCGGCACACAAAATTAAGAATCTGCATCTGCGTTTATTATTACCTTTTTAAACTCAAATCGACCATCCACCCAGAGCGCCCGAAAACTTGTTTTGCCTTCCAAGTAAGTGGTTAGATCGAAATATGAAGAAGAATAACTCCGTTTAAATTCAAATAATTTTGACACCTATTAGAGAAGTTCATTAGCTTTCGGAAAATATATACTTCGCTATGCGTAAAAATATTTTTCGTTGCGTTAGAGAGTGAAACAGGTCAAGCTGTAGAGTCCGGCGCGCGCTCGAGCCGCGATTCGATCGTCCAAGATCAGGCAAAAATTAAAGATAAAAAGAACTACTCGCTTCAGAAGAGTCTCTTTTTCTGTGCTCTTAGCGCACACGTTTTTTGAGCGGCACACAAAATTAAGAATCTGCATCTGCGTTTATTATTACCTTTTTAAACTCAAATCGACCATCCACCCACACACTAAACGAAAATATACCCAGATGGGAGTACATCGCTTGTCCTCTAGCGCATTCCCTTATGGGAGGTTTTTATACTCTGCAGGATGGGAGTTCAGAATGAACTCCCACGCAGGCCAGAGTTTTTTGGGGGATGCAAGGGAGTATGTACAGGACTCCCAGCAGTACGGGAGTCTGTTCATGGATCAATGGGAGTATTTATTTACTTCCATCAGAGTGTTCCTAGGTGGATCCAAGGGAATATTCTTTCACATCCTTATGGGAGTTTTTACGTGGACTCACGGGAATGTTCCTTTACATCCACCTGGGAGTGCTTACGTGGATCCACGGGAGTATTCTTTCACATCCATATGGGAGTTTTTACGTGCATTTATCGGACTATTCTTTCACATCCATATGGGAGTTTGTACGTGCACTTATGGGACTATTTTTTCACATCCACATGGGAGTTTTTACGTGCATTTATGGGACTATTTTTTCACATTCATATGGGAGTTTTTACGTGCATTTATCGGACTATTTTTTCACATCCATATGGGAGTTTTTACGTGCACTTATGGGACTATTTTTTCACATCCATATGGGAGTTTTTACGTGCATTTATGGGACTATTTTTTCACATCCATATGGGAGTTTTTCCGTGCATTTATGGGACTATTTTTTCACATCCATATGGGAGTTTTTACGTGCATTTATGGGACTATTTTTTCACATCCATATGGGACTTTTTACGTGCACTTATGGGACTATTCTCTCACATCCACCTGGGAGTTACAGCCGGGACCTAAGGGAGTATTCTTTCACATCCATTTGGGAGTTAGTACGTGGACCCACGGGAGTCTTCTTTCACATCCTCCTAAGAGTCGTATACCTACGGGAGTATTCCTTCGCATCCATCTAGGAGTTTCTTCAAAGCCAGGAAGTGTGGAAGGAAAGGCATAAGCAGGTAGCACAATGCACGAAATAAATTTATTGCATTATGAATATTTTTTGCACATGTCGTGTAACAAGAGCTCATTTTGCCTTGGGCGCAAACTGGCTCAGACGGCCATTTAAATGGCCTTCAGAGCAAACTCCTCAAAAAATGTCTGCGAACACCAAAGGGCACAGGCAAAGCCGAGATTGTGAACTGATTTGCCGATTCTTTGAAGGAATTCATTCCGAAGGCCATTTAAATGCCCGACTGACAGGGGTATTTATTACAATGTAGGGTACGCTAGGCTAACTGTGGTACACAAGCCACGATCGCTCTGTAGAAATTTATCAATTCCAGTGCCTTCACCCGTAACTTCATGTAGCAGTCGGCAAAACCACGTTCAATGAAAGTCAGCATCTTATGTGCCTTCTTTACGTAGTGGATGTGGAAAATCCAGTAGACGGCAATGAGGTACGCCACATCCTGACGGAGCCATACCATAAGTTCAAAGTTCTTCCTTAATCAGTCCTAAAATATTGAAATAAATTACCTCAAACTTAACAGAATTTGATAAAACATAATATGAGAGTCACAGATTTTTTACCTCAGCTTATATATGTTAAACACTCCGACTGCTCCTCCTTAGACGTCGCAGCTTGCTCGTTATATGTAGTAGCGGCAGATGCAATCACTCTTCCTGCAATCAGTCCGCTGTTGGCCATTCTCTTTCCTGCGTAGTGCTGGAAGGGACCTGTAACCAAAAAAGCACAAGCATTTAAGTTAAAATGTACTCACAATCAACACAACAGATGTTTCCGACGTTATCGTATGAACCTTGCAAACCAGGTGGGGAGCAGACTTTTCTCAAGAAGTGATTTGAAGACAGTTTCTTCAAAGCAATATCAATACTACTGATACTGAAAATATGGTAAAAGGGCAGAATCGTTTTAAAGTGATATAGCAACGAAATTGTAGTGCCTATTTTATTGTCTAAATGTCAACCATGTTTTGACCATACAGTGGAGACACCAATTTTTTGCTCAAAAAGACACAAAACATCTAGAACTAGTGTCTCAGAAGATCTCCCGATATGCATCACGTTTGCGACGTCTGGTTCTCCTTCAGTCAAAGCTACGTGG